AAAGATACACACCCCTATAAATTATTGATGGATTCATTTCGTTTGGTGCAACACAATAAGTAAGTGGTCAAGTTCATTCTGTGAATGGGGGCCTTTCCCCTCTGCTATGCTGTATTGAGATAATCATAAAATAAGTGACAATTATCTCAGTTGTGGAAGGTAATGGCTAATCTGTCCATCACCTGGGCCTATCTAATTACATGCCTTCTCCGCTGTACTCACTGATGTGGTGCTACAAGGGAAGAAAAATGAGGTCTCAACTTGCTGTAGGCTCAGGGAGATAACAATATAACAGATACTAGGTAAGTAATGAACTGAGCTGATTTTTTTTGAAGGAAAAAAAGCCACAAAGCGTTGAGTATTGATTCTGATACATTTTCTAGCTTTCTCTTCATTCCTGTTATAAATGCAAGTTGAAGCTCCCTAATTCATAGCTGTCTGTGTATCTTTAGTCCCTTGTCTGAGTTATTCCTTCTAATTTCACTGTGGCTTTTGGATTCTGCTTTGATCATCACTGTAAAGTTTAAATCTTTTTTCCTTGCTTAAACTGGAGATAGATATCACTGCTGAATCCTCCCCACAAGAAGGTACCAGACCTTCTGAGGCATGCAAACCTTCTGGAGACAAAGCAAGCACCCCTTGAGGAGACCACAGTAAAGGAATGACACTGCTAGCTTCCCAGTGAAAAGCAAGTAACTAACTGCCAGCATGATGAGAGGCTGCACGTTTGCAGATAAGGTACACAGTTTTGTGGAAATATGTCTGAAAATAGGCTCTGCTTTGCAGAAAAGCTAAAATAATGCATCGCAACTATCAGGAGTTTCATTTTCAAAGGGTGTATTTTCCTTTAGATAGTGGATCTTCTTCATAAATATGCACTGATATACTGTTACAATCATACAGCTTAATACAAGTAATTTTCCAATAGTTGTCTACATCTTAATGAAAACAAACGTCATTTTGCAAAATTCATTTGCTCCAAAAATCTAGAGATAGTTACAGTGGCTTTTTTTTTTTTTGAAATGGAGACCAGTAGATTTTTTCTTGTGCTAAAGACTGTTTAAGAGAAGGCTGGCAAACCTAGAGATGATATTTTATGTACAGTAAAAACATGGATGTGAAATGCTCTCCCATCCAGCAGAGGGACTTCTACGGTGCAGGTTGCTTAAACCATTTTAACCTTTTGTGCTGGAAAAGGACATGCTTAGCGCACATGTATGTTGTATAGAGGACAGACTTTTGAGTCCATCAGTGTTATGTAATCCTTCGTTATCCTGAGATGAAGATAAGGAGAACGACAGGAGGCAAGGGAACAGCAGCAGTGGTATCTGTGAATCCCAATCCTGTCGCTTTGCACACATGAACAATTCTGTAACCACTGGAGGTCCCTGGCCACGGATGCACGTTTGGCAGTGTGCGAGACACCCCACCGTGCCCACTGCAGGACTCCCAGGCACTCATACAGGCCCTAGCAATATGGGAGACCATCTCCTTTTGGGGAGTTCTGAGACTAGGTGTAATTTCTACTTTGTAAACCTTGCGTGGTGGTTAGCTGCTTCTACTGTTCTCTTTTTGCTTAGATGGCAACAGAAGACTGGTGCTTGTTTTCATTTCCTTTGAAAGGCCAAACTCAGATGGACTTCCTCTATTTCTCATTTTATCTACTCATTTCTAGATCTCTCAGATACAACTTTCTTTACTTTCTAGAACATTTTTCCATTCCCTGTAAGCTCTCTGCTGACTTTGCAGAATGTTTTCAAGTGATCCCGTTCCAGAATATCTACAACACTTCTCTGCTAGTTACACTCCCATCTTTAGGATACAAAAGCTATTTGCCAAGCTCTCCAGTTGACTTCCTTTGCTACTTCTTAAACTTTGTCCTTATACAATCAATAACTTCAGTTCCAAGATAACTTCTGTTTACCTTTCAATTTAAATTGTGTCAATTCGCACTTAATCCAAGGTTACTTCTTACAAGCAGGTCTTTCAAAATGCCCTCACAATTTACCAAAACTAAGTTTAGAACAGCGTGCTCTCTTTCTGGGTCAGTGTGCCTGTAATTCCTGGCCACCCATACACTACATAATTTATAAATGTTCTCCATCAGAGACCAGCCAAATAATTCATCTCTGCCTGTAGAAAAAAATCATTTTTTTAAATTTAACAGTGATCACTATAATGCTTAGCACCTATACACTATGGAAATGTTAATACCCATGAATATTAACTAGTTAATCCTCACAATTCCTTCACCAATAAACAAATAAGAAAATAAGGCATACAGCAGTTAAATGTCAATAGTTATACAGTTAGCCAATATTTGATCAGGATTGAAACTTAGATTTCCTTAGTTCAGACTCATTTTTAATCACTAAGCTTACTCACCACTTGCACAAATCATTTTGTATTAAAAATGATGGGCCTTGGAGAGCTCAGCTGCAAATCTGAATTCTTCCCAAATAACTTAAATGTTTTTCAAAACATCTGCTTGGGATTTGTGAAGGTTTGAGAAAACTGATTAATACAGTAATCTGCCCTTTCCCTGAAGTACTCCTCTATCTTGCTTCCCTCTGTGAAAGTCAGTTGCATCCATCTCACACAGAAAGTGTCCTCTTAATCTTCTGTAAATCTAACTTTGGGGATTATGATGTGATTAAGGAAACCTGTATCAATACTCTATAGTAGGCACAGCATACAAACACAAATAGCCTCTATGCCACAATCCATTGGACTTGGAATGGGCTAACATCCCAGACACTTCCAAACACATTTTACCTGCCATAGACTGATTGCACATTAAGACAGATAGAATAGGTAGGTGCATAAAGAAAAGAAAAGAATTTAAGTAACGTCTGTATGAATGACTTCTGTCATTCAACTGGAATCAAGTCCACACCTTCAAAAAATGACACCATCATAATAAATGACAGCTTAACAGACTGACAATGATAAATTGACAACTTGAGGGGAAGACTTACTTGGGGGAAAAGCTTTTACCAGTTTTTGTTGTTTTTCATAAAGTCATGTCCATACCATACATTACTCAATTAACAAGAATACCCTCTACAGTCACTTGAAAACTCCCCTTACCGTCTTTGTTCCTTTCTTCTCTATTAAGTGAGGTGGATTTTTCCTTCACAGTTTCAATGAACCCCGGCTGCAGCTTCTAAGAGGCTCATTATCTCTTCTATCACACCAGCTACTGCTTTCAAGGCTTATTGTTTATTTCTTAATATAAACGGAGAGACTAAAACCCCCTCAAAACATCCAAGGTGCCTTTGCCACTAAGTAACAAGCAAAGCATCATGCCTGTTGCAAGGCTTATTTAATCAAAAAATCATATTTCACATGAAGATTGGGACATTCGGAAGTACAATTGCCCTAATTTCTTCCTGAGATGAAGGAACGCTTGACACGGTATTTAAATGGGCTGTCATTTTGAGTTACCATTATGGGTTGGATTTTCTTATGTACAATATGTTTTAGTAATGTGCAAGATTCTTTTAGGCGTTGTTTCCAGCAGGACTCAAAAGTAATGGAATAGCTTCCATTCGGCATGTTAAAGAATTTTAACCCACAGACTAGGCTATCCAAATATAACCTTCCTAACAAGTAGTTGGCTCTCTGGCCTGAGTAAATTGACATTACTCTTCCAGCCTCTGCTTTGGCCAAGAACTTCTTGAAGAAACTCACTGAGCTACAACAAAATTAAGTATGGGATTACTTGCAAAGCAGTTCTAAGGAGTTCCCTCCTCAAATCTCATTGAAATTCCATGGGATTATGAGGGACTGATTCCCTGAAAGCCAAACAAAAATCTACCTTCTAAGTAAGGGTGTGGGTGTGTGTATGGGTGTATGTATGGGTGTGTGTGTATATACATATATGTATGCACATATATATACATATATGTTTATGGCTCTGTGTATATGTATAGCCACACACATACACGCAGTGATGTGTAGGCCCATACACATACACACAAACAATACAAGACTGGAATGCTTTGAGTTTGATAGAAGGCATTCACATTACGCTTAGGGGAAACCTTTTCTCTCAACTGCTACTCTCAGCAGTTAGTTCTGTCAAACTAATAATACACATCTACGCAGCAAAGTGATACAATTTCAGTATTAGCATATAAAATAAAGGTAAGTATAGGTTTCCCGTGCCTTTATTTCTTTTGCATTTTCTCTCTGTTGGAGAAACTTGCCTAACTCAAACACTTACAGTTCTTTCTCAAGGGTCTGTGTGGCATTTTTGTTCTTGATGGAAAGAAAAAAAAAGTATCTTAGTTTAAGATAAAAGGAGATTTTACCTCTTTGATTTGTTTTTTGATTCCTAACAATATACAACGAACGTAACTACAGCAGACTATTTAATAGACCTGTAAGCACTACACGGCCTCGGCTTGAAGAGAGTCCAGCTGCCTTAACTAAACAAAGTAATTTGCTGTAAGAGCAATTTTCAGGACAGTGATAAATCACAGTGTAATACAATCATGCACCGAGCTCAAAACAAATGCAAGACTGGCACAAATATTATAGTACAACTAGGCAGGAGTCAAAGGTACGTACAAGTCATTGACAAACATTGGTGCAAGTGCTTTAGACAAGACATTTAAAATAAATCTACACTGAAACATAGATTAAATTTATCAAAGTTTGATAAATTTTAAAGACAGTAAAAAAGTACACAAAACATGAAAAAATAAAAAACCCAGCCAATTCATACAATACAGCTTTGCTACATTTATATTACAGAATGAAGACAGAAAAGGATATAAGGAATTAAGTGCAAAGAAAATTCTCCTGGCTATGGCCAGGGGGATTTCATTGCCAATGAGAGATGCGCACACACAAATGCACGCACACGCACAGAAAATAAAGAAAAAACAACAACAAAAAATACCATTTACTGTAACAAATGACAGACACGGAGGTGAGAAACATTTGGCATGTTGCAGTACATGAAGTCATTCACGACTGGCTAACGATGGTACCTGGCTCGGCTGAAGATCGCTGGCTTGCCTGAGGGGAGTAACGGATGGAGGAGGCACACCTGAAGTGGACGCAGACCGACCTAATCTGCAACTTGCTTTAGGCTCTGGGAAGGAAGAGAGAAGAAAAACACCAGTGAACTGGAGGCTGATTAGTGCTGCAGTAAGCTGAAACATGACAGGCCCTGGATCCCCCTGAAACCAAGAACCCAGGCTAGGTTTCTAGATAAAGTCTTGGGCTGAATGACAAAAGAAGCTGGTACCAGAAGAATGGGGATTAGGACAGAACCCATCCCACATCCCAGCCTCCTTCTTGTCTGCTGGTATCTCTGAGGTTGATTTACAGGGCATAAGAGAAGAGGCAGACAGGAGGCATGTCAAGGAAACTTGCTCTTCCCCAGTGCCCTCCTCTACTCCCCGCTAAATATGACAGTGAATAAGGGAGTTACAGAGGCTTGTGGTTTCATGTCTCCACCCCAGAGCTGAGGGAAAAGGAGATGGCACCCCAAAGGGCGATTGTGCTGAAAGAATGAAAAAGAGGGAAAATGAAGGAAACGTATACAAGTGGTAAGGATACTGTGGTGCCTGGGGATTTGGAAGGTCACAAAGATCACTAGGAAATCTATTAATGGCACTGAATTTTGAGATCAGACAGAAAATAGGGAGGAAAGGATAGAAATATGAACTTCAACCGTGGCAAGATAGTTCCCTAAAACAGAGGCAATTACAGAAGCGGAGATGGCTTTGAATTAAAAGAGAAAGTTCAATTCCAGAGAAGAACTGCAGAGAAATCACAGAGTTATTTCACTTCCCTTCTCTTGTTCACGGAGGCATGTTTCAGAAGGTCCCTGCTGATCCCTAGTGCAGGTTATGACTGTTATAACACCAACATAACAGTGACCGCGCAGCTCAGCAGTCCTGGAAGAAGGTTGGTGTGCCTGAGCTATGCTGACACAAGTGTGCTGCCCTACAGTGTGTGACACCCCATACCTGGCCTAGAAGAAATTCTTCTCCTGAGAAAAAGATCTACCTGTTTCTGCCTCAGAAAATTATTTGTCCTACAATACTTCCTGTTTATGATTGAGGAAACACCTTCCCCCATCCCAGACTTCTGGCTTGGATGAATGTGTTCTTCCTGCTCATGTTTTATGAGATTTCCTCTTGACCCTGCACCTGTCTTTTCTATTTAGTGTGTAAACACTGAGACCAAGGACTATCGCACTGCGCAGATACAGTTCGTACAATAGTAGGCCCTCAATTTTAGCAGGGATGACAGTGCTTTAATATGAATAACAAGTAATAATAATACCATGTCTCCTTACAACAGGTTGAAAGAGTATCTCCTATTCAATCTCTTCTTTTCAAGAAGAGAGGAAGGACAAGCCTGGTTTAGAAGGTTTGCCTTTGAAGCACATATATTCTCATGTATCTTTTTTGCCTGTGTGTCTCTGAAATGTATTTTCTCATGCCTCATTTACAGTGCTGCTTTGTTTGTATTCACTTTACACAAATCTCCCTCTCCCTCCTACATGGGATCTCTAGCACCTTCACTAGCCACTGGCTGGGCCATTGTTTGAGAGGAATAAGATTATCCATCACTGGCACTTCCCTAACGTCACCTAGCACCTCTTGGAAAGTTCAAGACAGCAGACACATTACATCCTCCACCAGCAGCATGCTAAAAAATGTTCCTTCCACCTCACTGATGCTTTTTCATTGTCACCTTAACTTATTTTCCTAGGATGTTTCAGAATTCAATCGGGTATGGAGAAGAGCTGTTCGCTTAAGCTGGAACACTCAGACAAATGAAAGCATCTGTATGGGTGAATATTCAGCAACTAAATATTAATAGGTTGGTTAACATCCAGCTGGCTAAGCAGCAAAAATATTTATGCTGGTTGACGAATACATTATTCAATTCACTCATCCCTAGTCAGTCTGCAAACATAGCACGAGTCAACATGGCAATAAACATGAAGAAAAGAGCAGACTAATCCCCCCCATAACCTTGCATTTTGTTCATAATCTGTTGTTTTGATTTTTTTGGACTTGGGCAGTTATTCTGAAGGTTTGATTAGATTTGTTTTTGTTCTGATTTCACACCGACTGTGTGCCAGACTTCTGATTGTTTCCTTCAGTAATAGAGATATAATAACGGATCTCATGTCTGTTCCCTCCTGAAATTTTGCTGTGGTTTCAGTGAGGGCAAAAACTGGTTTTTTTGGGTTGTTTTTTCCCCTACTGCTAAGTAGAAACACTGCGTTTTTGCTGTGACAAGCAAAATACAATACCCAGTATGTCAAAAACTCCAAGGCATTGTCTGCCATTGCTTTAGAGTTTTCTTTGCTTTGGGAAAGCAGAGAAAGTGTCATAATTTCCAATTTGGATATATGTGCAGCAACGAGAGATTACCATTTCCTTGCCAAAGAGAGTCCTTTCATCTGGCATCAAAGAAATAAAATCTATCACGCTCAGATGAAGTATTAGTTCCTTCTTTATCTCCCTGTAATATATTTTACAGTATTAAGAGAACTATCGCAATTTCCACGGTGATCTCTACCAAGAGAGGTTCCAGACAAGGCTCCATCTAGTTTTTTAAAGTTTGAGATTGGGTTATGCACCAAAAGGGAAATGCTGGATTTTTTAATAGCCATTTCCTTGGCTTCAGTGGGAGCATTTTTAAACCGAATAAATACTCCATTCTCCTGCACTTCGTGCTGTGAATAAAGGCTTCACACTGCACCCTACTGTGGGAAAAAAAGTCCATAAACGGTCTGCTGCATAAGTGATGCCCAACTCACTGCTCTGTATTCTGCAGCATGTTGTTTTTCAATTGTGTAAACTGTATTCACTGTACTGAAGCTAACTGGATTTTGAGTACAACGATCACTTGAAATAATAACTTCTGCTTTTGGCTGTCTAAAAAGAAGTAAGAGAAACAAGGGATGGTTTCTCGTGAAAGTATCATGTGGACCATATTGAGATAGCTCAGTTTTAACAGCTGAAATGAGCAGCTTTGAGATTTCTTGAGAAGTCCGCTCTGTAACAGTGATGTGTGGTGTAGAGCTTTTGCCAGCCAGCCTGATAAGCACACAGGGAAGTCTCTGTAGAGATTTGCCCTCGGGAGGGCCTGTTTGCCTACAGCCCATAATAATACTGCTAAAATACACTTAGATCCATATCAATAAGGTTAGCATAGTGCCACATCTCCACACTGAGCTTCACTTTACTGTGTGGATGTGTCCTCTGGTTCTAAATAAAAATTGCTGAGGAGAGGGTACCAAGGGCTCCCTTCCAAACATGAGACCCACTCTGAATCCACAACTAGGGGCTTCTTGACATTGCTGTAAGCCACTCAAATGCCAAAAAAGGGCTAACAGCCTACTGCTAAGCTAGGGAACTCACAGGCGTATGTCTAAGTGCTTTACTGGATGGGTGCCAGAAGATGCAGAGCACTTGAGTAGCCATTAGAGATGCCCGTTGCAATCTGTGGGCATCCTGAGGCTTGAACCCAGCTGATTGCTCTGCGTAGCTGCTCTGTAGATTTGTAGCAAGTTCATAAGATTCAGTTGCTACAGTGAGCTGATGATACTTTTGTAGTACTATTTTGCACAGCGTCAAATGACAGATCTCTTACGGTGCGCCATGTTTTGAAAAAGTCACTGCTCACTAAGGGCCTGAACCACCTCCAGGAGTCATGTCCAGATGGAGAGTAATGCTAGCAGGGGATGGCTGGTCAGCAGGGTATCTGTCCCCTGTTACGCGACCCAGAGCACCCATGAGGCTCCCAGCGATCACAGTGGTTGGGGACCATAGCCATCTTAGCCGTCAGCCCCTGAAGTAAACCTGCAAATGTGGTCTGCTAAAATGGGACTTGCACTAATGGACTTTCAGATTTGAGGTGAGTTCGGTTGATGCCAATAGGATCACACGTGGACATAAAGGAACAGCCCCAAAGCACAGTGTTAAGGATGGGAACTTTAGGAGAAAATGCCCAACACACAAATAGAGACTTTCCAATTACAAATATGATTGCCTAAAATTGGGTACCCAATTATGCATTGAAGCACCCACATAAATGACCTGTTTTCCCAAAGTGTTACCAAATGCTGCCATCTTAAGTAAAGATGTATCACGCTGGTTGGCTGCAGGGTTTTTTGGGGTGAGTGTGGATTTTTCTTAAAGTAGAATGCTGAGATGAGACATGATCTTTCGGAAATATTTTTCATCAGTTTTATACCGTTGTGATATGGTTTCCTATATTCTCTAGAAATACAACGGCTCTGCATGATTTTTATTTTTGGATCTTAACTGGAAGAGTTCCTTTATTCATCCAGGGGAGCCTTCATTCTGCCTATCCTAATCTTAATTCAAAAAAATACTCTGGCTGTCACTTGCATTGGAGAAGCTTCTTATCCTGTCATAGTCTCCTCTTTGCACATGAAAAGAGAAATACTGCTTATTTGCTACAGCTGCCAAGAAGCACGTTTTGAATTAAACACGGCGATGTGACAGGCTATGGAGTAATCACATGCAAAAAAGGAAAAGGAAAAAGAAAGAGAAAGAAAACATGCATACTGAAAAAATGAATCGCACCCATTATCTTCATACTGGCTTAGCCATATTGGTCTCCTAAAAAAGATGAGTAAGCTATAATATAACTTGAAATGATGAAATCTTAAGGTGGAAGAAAGTGCATAAGAATACTTTGCCACTTAAAAATGCTTTTTGGACTTCACCTGCAGAAGCTGCTCACTTAAACTTAATTAATGTTAAACTGAACTATTTTCAAAAAGGGAGCACTAAAAGCTGTGGAATTCAGTGTAGCAGAAATCAAAAGGCCAAAAGCTTAGAAAGACTCAAAAACAAGCCAGATAATGAGAAAAAAAACATGCGTTAGATGGGGTATGTTTTAAATTAAGATTTGTTCTAAACTGCTATGTTTCACGTCTATGACAGCAACTGAGGCAATGAAGTAAGGAATAAACAAATCCTACTGGTAGTGGTTTTTTTTTTTCTTAAACTTCCTTATTATTTTCCTCTGAAGCTTCTGGCACAGGGTACTGTCGGTCTTAGGGCTCTGGACCAAATGGACAATTTGGCAATTGCATTATCCCAAATGGCTGTAACGTCACTGATATAGAGAGCAGTGTGCTCTTTAACCGTCATGCTCTGGGATAATACGACACTACACACACTGGGGAGCATACACATGCTCTCCACCTGCCTTCCTGGTACCTTCCCGCCCATAGCGTGCAGTCCCCAGTACTAGTTCTTTTATTTTAGATGACGGACACTGCTAGGAGAGCTTGTGCACTGAGAACATGACCAGGGCAAGCAACCTCCAGAACCACCACCTCCTGGTCTCGACCTTGTTCAGAGGGCTACTTCTACCTCCAGCATTACGTTGCCTTCACTTGGAGAAGCCCTGAGGATTTAGTAGCAAGTGATACCTTGATATTGCCCTTGAGGAGAGAATTTAGGGTTGGTGGGAGCACTCAGTCTTTGAGTGAAGCAGCCCGGCTGGAGTGAATCGCTACTCTGTGCCACTAGTCCCTTCCTGTGCTGATGAATGCACCCTGCACCTCAGCTTTCACAAGCATCACTTCATTCCCAGACAGCTTGCACTTAACTCTTCACTACTTCGGCAATCCCACCACAATCTTAACCACTAATTCCAATGCAGGAAGAGCAGCTACACCTTTCCCGATTATCTGCTACATTTTCAATTGAATACTAACGAGGTTGGCTGAATGACAAGCTGATGGTGATTTAAAAACAGGACACAGCAGCTAAGTAGACTATATGAAAGATTTAAAAGGCAGTGCAGTGCTTGTCTCTAGCAGCAGGTGGCAATGCAAAATGCTTCATGGTTGCAGTTTCAAAAAAAAAAAAAAAAAAAGCAACATTCCAGAAAATACTCTTCAAAGCTCCCGGGGCGAAGCTATCCCAGCCTTCTGTTTCACAGAGCTCCTTTGGCTTTTCTACAATTGCAGTGAGTTTCTTAACAGCCAGCTTGCCCAAAAAACACTGACATCACTTTCTGTAAGAAACAATACGATACCAAGAGACAGAAAGTGGCCTTGACCAATTATGTGACAGGTAAGAGATCCGTCAGTCATCAGGGACAGCGGTGCTCCTGTGCATCTGACAAGCCAGGCGCGTTCAAGTTCTTGTTGGGAGATGGCTAATTTCCCCTCTGATCAACCTCGCACGTGCACAGATCTGGATAAAATCACCACTCTCACTCGCGTACTCACTTGGACTCACTCTAACCCCTACTTAATCTGTGTCTCAGCAGAGTTGCCCATTGAACACACATATGAAAAGTCCTTTCAGATCCTCTCCATTTTACAGCAGAAGAATTCAAACCCCGTTTCTTCAAATTGTCCCAACAGTGGCCTAATAAATGCCCAGACCCAGCGCAAACTAGGAGCCAGGCAGCAAACTGTGGTGTTTCAAGGATACGTCCACACAAACATAGGCCTTATCTCTCCTAACTCTGATGCTGGAAAGAGAACAACAACAACAACAACAACTCACTGTAATAGGGATTGCCCTGCCCTGATTTTATTTGGCTCTGTGGCAAATCTAAGTCCCGAACTGCTAGCACAGAATCACTGTACCTTCTTGACTCCAGAAAGCATTTGTATCCATACAGATTAAATCTCTGTTGCATTCTGTTACAACTCCTAATTTATTTGCAAAGGATGAACTGTTACAGCTCAGGTACAAGTTCACTGAGGAGAACTGTGTAGAACTGTGTGCAGCATTTTGAATGCAATGCCCCACCAATTAAAGGTAAAACATGTTGTTCAGGCAACAGCTAGAGACACGGGGGAAAAATATTCGTGGCAGACGAGAGGCAATATTCATCAAATGAAATGTCATAAAAACTGTGGAGAAAGGAAAATCATAATCAGCTCACAGATTTTCATCATAAAAAAGGAGTCTAAATTCAGCCCATAAAATATTTCTGTAATTTTTCTTTCCATATGAGTCTTTGAAAGTCCTGGCTATGTAAGACAAAGGCACAGTCAACTAAATCAAGGCATGATTCAACAACTATTACAGTGTGCTGATGCCAATTAAACATTGTGGCCAACATGTTTTGTCTGCTTTTGGAGATCAACCAAGCCTTTAAAATAAAACTTACGCAGAAAGGTTGGACAGAAGCGATGCATTTTGCTGAGAACTCGCTCCATACTTCTCATTTCCCTTCCATTCTGTCCAGTACTGTTGTTAATCTGGCAGAACTGAAGGGGTGGGTACACACCTTTGGCCTAATCATCTGATGTCCTATTATTCTGATTTGGTACCCTCTGTTTTACTGGCATTAGCCTAGAGGACTAACACTGAGAGCAAGGTCTCTTTAACGTATGCAAAGTACTTGGAAGAGTATTCTTAACAAAGCTATAGGCTTTTATAGTTACGTGGCAAAATCCAACCTACCAGAACGCTTTACGAGAACATACAAGTAAACAGAAGGAATTAACACCCAAATAACCTGTGGCTAAAGTCAGGAGATTTGCAGAAAAGTCATTTTCGCTGCCCCAGGCAAGACTGGCTGAGGGGGCTGCAGCAAGAAACGCCAGAGTAGAAGACTGCGGCAAACGGTACATTAATAAAGTTTGTTCAAGTTTTATACTGCGTTTCTGGAGTCATTTCCAGAAACGCAAGGAAAATGAGCACTCCATTATCGCACAGGGAAGCAATGTTCTGGGTGAGGGGCTTGTAGCTCTGCTAGCTCAGCACTGTAGAGACTAATCTCTGCCGCTGACTGCTCCACCTGACCTCTTCTGCAGGAACACTTTCCTGTTTGAGTCCTGTTCCAGTTTGAGCCTGTTCACGGTCTTACTCTTACTGAAGACCGGTCACGCGGCTCCAGCACTAGACATGCCAATTGTTTTTAAAGCGTGTATTTTTCCACAATCAAACCCATAAGATAGGAAGTTTCTCTTTTAAGTGACCTGTCAAATCTCAAAAAGTGACCTTGTAGTGATTATCCCAGAGCTATATATATGATAAATGTACATTCATGTATCAGTTGTGTTTGGCTTAGTCATTTTATAGAACAGGTTGCGTTATGTTTCAATGATTTACAACAATTCACTATTTTATATATATATGCAATTTGATGTATAAAATTGATGCACATGAATTGCACTTCTGAAATCTGTAGCCACTTTTCTAGCGATTTGCATGTAAGCATAAAACAAAGGCTGCCTGTGTCCACTCACTGTGCATATCAATGTGTGTTTTTGTCAGGGCACGTGACATCTGAATTTATAAACTTCTCTTTGAGGTGCAATTGGGGGGGGGGGGCTCTTTGCCACAGCGTCCCTCCTTAATGTCAAACAGAATTCTTTATGTCTATTAAAATAGTTGAACAGCACGTTTACGTGACTTACCATGATCCCAATCCTGTCCCAAATACAGAGCACAAGCAGCCAGAACAACGCTTATTACTGAAGGAACTTAATGGGCAGATTCTGTAAGTTATTTGGAAGTCTAAATAATATAGATGTTTATCTTCACCTGCATATCTTTAGAGATCCTTCAGCTCACAAGCAGATTGACAAGATAGTCCTTGCTCTGCTACTTGGACGTACCTGAGCTGTTGCTTCCAGCCAACATGGTTGGACTGACAGAGGATCTCCCCAGCCTGCTGGATACAACTGGCGGCCCCGGCGTGCCATCCCATTCCTGAGCTTTGACTGGCTCCCTGGAGGAAGCTGTCCCGTGATGGCCTCCCCTCTCTTTGTTTTCCAGCTTTGGTAGTGGTTCAGTGCTGTGACTTCTGATCTTCAGCTCATCCAGTGGTTCTACAAAATACACAAGATCACATTTTGTAACAGACTGCCTGCTAATTATCTGTGTCATTTACAAATCTTTCACTCAATATTCCATACATACTAATCATAAACCTTCTAAGGGCAACTTGTATCATGATTTTACCTTCTGCTCCTAAAACCTATGTTGAATGTTGGTTTCAACACACTTGTAAATTCCTGAAAAAAGACACAATGCACTAGGTGGGTACAACGTGACTTTCTTGTTACAACTTTTACATGCCACAAAAACATTTATTTCTGAAAATGATATCCTATCAAATTACGTTTTTATTAACAACTTAGGAAAATATTTTAGTTCTTTTAAGCTGTCATTTCTTTGGAAATAATTTCTTCTCCAGGTACCTTCTAACTAAGCTCTCTCCTAAAGCAATATTGTGCAAGTAATACATTTGTACTTGTCACGAGCACTAATAAAAGGCGCACGATCCATAAAACTGTCCAGTGTTAATACTGCTGGTACCCAGCACCATAAGCTAGGGCATAAAGTTTTACTTAGTGGAAAAATCCTAGAAGTTAGAAAATGACTTTCTACTTGCAACACCATGAGTCAATATAAAGAGGAGAAATTTCAAAAAAAGAAGTGAATGAATTTTCAAGTGAAGCAATGATGTCTGCTTTCTTCATGGCTGGTGATTTTCTGTTCCTTTCTGAGACACTTATTTCACTTCTTGCAGGTCGAGCAACGCACCGAACAAACAACCCATTCCTGAACTTTTCCATCTGTAGCTGTGAAAAACTCACAGGAAAAACCACATACAGAAGAAACATTAAGAAATTACTTTAAATTGTAACAGCTACTTACTATTCATACTCTCAACACTAGTTTATAAATGAACCAGGTTTATAAATGAAAGCCCTGGTCTACCTTAATTTCTGCATGTATCAACAGTCTTAGGATTTACATTTAATTGAGATGGACAACCTTCCCTTGAGTCCTATCTCAATATCTTTTTGTGGCTGCAAGAGACATTCCCCAGATTTGAGAGAGCCAAGGGGAGGCAGGACTGCCAGGAGGCATTTGCAGGCAGGAGATGACAGCAGCTCCCAAGGACGCGGCAGGATGGCGGTAGTCTGGGCACGCAGGACTGCCAGAGACACAACTGCAACATTTGCCTCAGCAATCTTTTCCTCTCCTCACTAATCCCCTGACCAGGAACTGGGACAGTCCAGCGATAGCTGCCACTCAGATGATACAGTCCCGGAACAACAGCCACGTTCACTCCACTTCAGTCTGTATGGGGCTGAAAAGCCCATGCGTTGTTCACCCTTGCTACAGTAACCAGCGGTACAGGCAATATTAGCTGTCTAAATGGCATGTGAGAGACCTCTTCTATGTGTAACAATAAAAAAAAAATGGTATTTTGAGTTCTTTGACATTCTAGTCTGTAGATGAACTTGTTTATAAGAAACAAAATAATCATCTGGAAGTTTCCTCAGGGAAGTATCATATAGGAAACATGTAAAAATGTCTAACTGGATATGCATCGTAATATGTAATCATTAACATATTTCACAAACTACTATCAGTTAATAGTGAAAATAAAAGTTAATGATAAGGACATCATATCCCAACCTCTAAGGGTTTTTTTTTTTTGTTACTCCAGTAATAAGATTCCAACAGAAACCTATAAAACAATCCCAGTTTAGCAAGTCACATAAATAGTATTCAGCAAACATTTTGTGTGACAAAGACCCTCAAAAATCAAACCGCTTCCTTGAACTTTTAGGTCACTTTACCTACTTTAATGTCTGCAAAAGGGTACTTGAATGAAAATCCAAACTGTTTTTCCTATTTAGTAACTCCAGCAGGATACAAGGTTGAATAACAGTCTGCATCCACATAACTTGACATCTGCCTTTCAGGGACCTTTGCTCTGAAACGTCTGTAACACAGCTCTGTCTGAAACTACTTAAAGAGACTTGCTAATCCAAAAAGCCAGACAAAGAAATGTGGAGCCTAAATTAGAAATGGATTTGAACTCTTTCAGTTATCAACAAAAAGATGCTCTACCTTAAGTTTCTTCTGGGCACTGATCTATCAGAAAATAACGTCACTACTTTCACGTAACGGTTACGGGCAAACACATTTTCAAATTTTTCTTTAAACTAGTAACACACACTTCTTCTAGACGCCATATATTTGGAAAAAGGGAAGACACGAACAAGGTTTCAGAATTCTTTGGAAGTACATACAACCGTCCGCCAGGAAAGGCTCCTGTCTAGATTGCAGCTCTCACTTTCCAGCAAAATCAACAGAAATCGAAAAGGATAGAACACGCTTTAAACAATGCAGAGTCTGGCTTTACGAATGCCCCATCAACTTAATGCATCATTCAATAGAATTAATTTACCGTGTCATTTGGCTGCTACTGGCAATGCTGTGATTACCTGAGTGAAAACCTTCTCTACATGTGTCTCATTGACGCTGCTTGAACACCACCCCTTGAAGTGTCACCCGGTCAGGCAGCCGGCCCTTAGTTACACTCTGGCTGAGTGTGGAGCAGTAAGGATTTATCCACTTCAGTTTCCTTAACAGAGCAGCATTTGTACTTGCTGCTTGATAAAAATGATTTGTGCATTCTTAGTTTTATTATCAGCAGAATCAAAATGCAGCAGTTCTCTGAAAACAGCTGGAAACGATGGAAATATTCAGACTAAATAAAGACTTGGCTTATAGTCTGTTTCTTTATACGGTGTAGAAAATCAGTTTTCAGCTGGCTGTCTAGACTTCATAAATTTGCATTCCACTATCCTTTCTTGGGGATTTTCAGTTCTCAGTTTATCTGAAAAGTAATATATCCTAAAAATGAAAAGCAGATTGAAACAGATTATAATGTCATGCAACCCATCACAGCACCCAAATCACTGTTATTCGGTGATCATTATCAGTAACACTGACGCACAGTCAGAAAAACAACCTATTAGCATTTTATATAGTTTTCTGTACTATTACTTTCCTGCTCTCTTTAGAATACATAATGGAAAAAAAAAGTTATTTGTATGCCTCACTTTTGCTCAAATAATTTGTAGGGGATTTTAAAGTAATTTCACCTTCATTAATGGCTGTCAATGGGAATAATGCTCAAATTCAATTAAAAAAATCACCACGCTAGTTCTTTCTTGATTAAAAACATTTCTCACTGCTCCCCTCCCAGGCCACGGAGCACTACCAGAGCCTTTTGGTGACTGTCACAGTCACTTGGATACTTGGATGTTTTATACTGTCAACTATTCCCTGCTGTAAATGCAGCTCCACGGAGCAAGCTCAGTGGCACAAATTATTGTGTCTCATAAAAAGCACGCTCACTGCTTCGTATTTTCCCTCACGGAGTCAGGCACAAGCCGCTGGCAGAAAGCGGGACACGCATGTAGCTCCTCTCTAGGGCTACCCATCAGGTGGTGATCCTCTCATTGACTGAAAATCAAACTGGTATATTTTAAACAGGGAAGCCCTATAAAAAGGCTAGTTGGATTTAAACGGCCACTTTATCCGCATTAATCCCATACTGAAAACATGAACTCTAACCGGTCACGTATATTTCGCTGAAAGGTAACAGTAGGTGCTACACAACTTTTTATTTGAGAAGTGCAGTAACACAGACGGGATCTAAGATACCTCAAGCTGTTAAAAACCTTAGCTTGGAGTTAAACGAGATATCGAAGCTCAGTGTTAGGCTGGGAGTTTGCTGAATCATACGACGGCCACAGGCAAATCTTTTCGCAGTCAAGCGATGCATTTTGAAAGCTGACATTGTTATGAAAAGCATCTTTACTGTTCAATAATTCGTAAGCCAAAACAGTACATAAAAATGTAAATTTCAAGAAATAATTCACTGCTTTAAATATTTATGGATACAGTTGGTTAAGATTCCCATAAAGGCATTCAAATGTTTCAAGCACTTCCAGGTGTCATCATATTTCAATATTCAGAAACACGCATTTTCCTCATTTAGTTCACCTAAATCTCAGGCTTTTCTGTGTCAAGACAAAGATGGTGGCTAAAATCTCTTCGCGAGAACATAATTTCTGAATAACTGGCATGTACCGTTTCCCCTTTATGAATAGCTGCACACACTGGACACGGTTGCACGTGAGCTGTGGTACTAGAAGACTTGTAAATGCTAAAGAAAGCAAGAAACCTAGTTAATCAGCTGTAACTCATACCAAAGCAAACTGAAAAATACAGCTAAGGAAAATATTTTACCTGAGAAGCTATCATTCAAATGAATATATAGTCTGTGGCCAGTCTGCCACTGGGTTCATAAACCTAAATTAATCCCAGGTCCTTGATGCTTCTTATTGTAATGCTAAGTGATAAACAGCACAATCTTTATTATTGTTTTGGGGGTCTGGAGGAAGAAAGAAAAGCAATTGTCTGAAGGAACTGCAAATGAGGGTTGCTCTGCACCATCTCTCTCAGCTGTGAGCTGACATGTATCAGCTAATCATCCATGCATTATTCATTTATTCTTTTTCTGTGTGTTTGTTATAAACCTAAATAAATAATACATCACTCTGGGCAGAACTCTCCTACTTTGGGAAGTAAATGGTGCTACTCAACAGGGTCTAAAAGTAAGCATAGGCATACACATGCAATGGTATGGTACGGGCCTGCCAGCAGCGGAGCAGGATGTGTCCACCCAGCACAGACTGACCCGGTCCCCCCACTGCATGGGCAGGGCAACACTAAGCCCTTGAGGAAACCCCGCAGTTTCATCTTTCTGCACAGCAGGGATATTTTATTTACCTTTACTACATATTTCAAAAGTAGAGCTGCTTTTTAATGGCTTTCTTGATCTGTGGTTGGTTGGCTGATCTGTGCAGCTATAAATGTACCCCGAGCCCTCCCAAGGAAAACAAATAGGCTATTAATACTGCATGCAAGAAACACGGATAATGCTCAGTGCTTAAGGCATTTTTTTTCCTCCCTAAAAACAGGAGTATATTATATTGTTAGTTAAAGCCATTTC